GTCATTTTTGTTTCAACCCTAGAGTAGTTTGTATTGTTACTTGAGAGTGGATAAAATGGAGCTTCTGTTAAGTGTCATATTAGTGATGTACATATTTGTTTGTAAATTTTGGGGTTAGTTTTTCATTGTAATATTTAGTGTGTGCCTTCTTAAAAAAAAGTTCAAAAAGAAAAAAAGAAAAAAAAAAGAAAAAAAAGTAAAAAAAAAAACAAAACAAAAAAAACAAAGAGGCACATTAATTTCTTGTTGTGATTTCTTCTGTAAAACCCCATTTTTACTTCCTTTTCATGTTTATATTTCTCATTGTTTTGTATGCTCCAAGTTCTTGTAAATTCATGTGATTATCCGCTCAGTATAAGTGCAATCTAACTCTCTTTGTAAATCCCTACACCAAACCTTTCTTTCCACTAGCCACATCATTAACCTCGCCAAAACCCGAAAAGTCCTAATTGATCTATTTGTGTCATTTTTTTGAATTAAGTTAATTGGAGAAACTTGTTCTGCATAACCCGAACTAATTCAGATCTATAGGTGTTTGTGTTAAAAGTTTGATTTGAAAATCTTAGTGATAGGCAATAATACTCGGTTTACTCTCATTGAGTTATTTTGTAACATTTCAGGGTATTGGACCGTTTAGTGGACATTAGAGGTGTATGTGTGATTTGTTTAGTTATGTTTGTAAATTTTACCAAATTGTGTATTTTTTTGTGTTTGTTGTTTATTTTGCTTGAGGACAAGCAAAAGCCTAAGTGTGGGGGATTTGATGTGCTTATATTTTACACATTTTTTAGGCTTAGTTTGTTAATAATCTTGGTCACTTAAGTTGTATATTTGTACATATTTTTATTATTTATCGTTACTTTGTACGTGTGCAGTCCTATGCATGTATTTTTGTATTTTCAGGTACTTTTGATACTATTTGATACATTTGTGTGTGAAGAAAAGAAGAAAATAAAAGTTCAAGTTGGAGATCAATAAAAGTGGAATTTCCTACAAAGCAAAAGAGTAAAATGAAGAAAAGAAGCAAATGATAAAAAGGGTGGAAGCATCTGGGATTCGATCCTTCGACCCAAGGGAATGAGGGAGCAAATCTGAACCAGTGAGCTAAATGTCTAAGTTGCAAAGGTTTAGCTGGAGCTTATTTTAATTCCTTTCAACTGCAGCAAGAAAAGACGAAAAATTACGTCAATAGAAGGGGTCGAACACGGGACCTCAGAGTCCTAAGAGCATTCCATTTCCACTGCACTGCTACGCGTTATTGATACTTAGACGCGATTTCTTGTACATATACTATTCGGTTCCGTAAATTCCAGCAATTAATCATTAATCATCTTATCATTATAAGGCTTAATCCATCTCCTTCCACACAATATCTCGAGCCATCTTCTCTCTAAACCTCCCAGAATCATTTCCTCCTCCTTCTCTCTTCATTCTTCATCTCCAAATCATCAACCAATCTTCAACATCAATTAATCACTTTCTCAATCAAGATTAAAGTCAAGATTAGCACCAAGCTCCAAGGATTGTCATCTATCACAAGTTTGATCTTCCTTATCTCTTTAAATCTTGTACTTCAATCATGAATTCATCTATTTCTAAGCTTCCCAACATGTATAGCTAAATAAATTTGGGGCTAGAAATTGGTTAATTAATTGTTCTTATCATGTTTTAATTTGTATTGATTTTAATTGTTAAGTTTGTTCTATTTAGATTGTTGTGTCCAGAAAATTAATTATGTTATGTTTGTGATATATATTATGAGTACTCAATCATAAACATATTGTTTGTTAAATACACAAATGAACACTTTCTGAACACACCGTTAAACTTCTTTTACCTTGTCCCGGATTGAAGTTTTACGGGAGAATTTAATTATTTAATTATATTATTTACACCACGGGGTTGGGTAAATAACATAGTTAATAATTAAGGTTGTCGTTGCACTTAAACAACTAGTCTCGTTTTGGCCATCACTGGGAAATGTTGACTAGTTACTTATTTTAGATGACTTGTGTTGGGTCCTAAAATATTTATCCACAACTTCTCACAATCTATCTACGAATAAAATTAGCAATTATTTCTTTCAATTAAACATTGAACAATTAGTTACCAATTTCTACCCCTACTTGCTATTGGTTGAACTTTGTGTTGATAAAAATCTCTCATCTCAATCACTTTTATTTTATTACTTTTCCAAGCAACCAAAAAAAATCAAAAGAAACGCACTTCCAACTTTAATCCTTAGTTTGTGCTTAATTATTTTATTTCCCGCTTCTCTGTGGTTCGACACCCTACTTCCTTGGGTAAAAAATAGTTGTGTGCCCATTATATGCTACACACCAGCGTCCTCGTGGGGTACGGCTTAGTTAAAAACACTTGGTGTTTTTATGGAGTGGTGGGGGTAACCCGCACACTTGGTACTTGGTGCCTTGATTGGTGATGTTATATTGTGTTCGTCCTCATGAGAGGAAGGGGCCTTGGGCCTATTTCGGTGAGGAGATGAGGGCTTGGCCACTCATTTTTGGAGAGGAGGGGGCCTTGGGCCGCTTATGAAACATATAGGTGATGAAGGCTTGGCCTTTTAACCATTTTCTCAAAATGAAATGGGGCCTTGGGCCGTTGATCATGTACATTTGTGGAGGATGAGGGTTTGGCCGCTCATGTTCACTGATAGAATTTGACAAGGTGGAATACATTCCAATGTCTAGGGACCTCTGTCCCATTAGGGCGTTTTAGCTTGTATGTTCCCGGTTTGATGATGGCTGAGACGATGTAGGGGCCTTCAAATTTAGGTGCCATCTTGCCGCATTCGGTGGGTAGGCTGGACTCCCTTCGCCGAAGGACGTAGCCCCCCAACTGGAATTCTCGGGAACGAACTTTGGCATCGATGTAACCCTTGACTTGGCACCTATAGTTTTCAGCCCGGAGGAAGGCTTGTTCCCGGCGCTCTGAGATGAGGTGGAGATTGAGGGCCATGTTGGCGTCATTGACCTCAGGTTCATATTGTTCTACCCTTCGGGTGGGAAGAGTTACCTCCGTTGGAGCCTTAGCCTCGAAGCCATAGCATAGGGAGAAGGGTGTTTCGCCTGTTGCACGCCGAGGGGTAGTGCGGTAGGCCCATAGGATGTTGTGGAGATCTTCTACCCATCCTCCTCCTTCGGCTTCAAGTTTCTTTTTTAGGCCTTCAAGCAAGGTCCGGTTGGCGTTCTCCACCTGTCCGTTGTCTTGAGGGTAGGCAACAGAAGAGAAGATGTGTTTGATGCCCCATGCCTCGAGGAGGGCACAGAAGGGGGCTACCTCAAATTGGGTGCCATTGTCGGAGATGATTTGTTGGGGGACGCCAAACCTTGTGAGGATATTTTTGAGGACAAAGTGGCGGCATCGGGCCTCGGTGATGCTGGCGAGGGGCTCGGCCTCCACCCACTTAGTGAAGTAGTCGATGGCCACAATTATGTACCTGTTGTTGGAGGTACCCCTCGGCAGAGGGCCTACTAGGTCAATGCCCCATCTGGAAAAGGGGATAGCGGTGCTGATGGGGGCGTAGTTGACAGCTGGCCTGCCGGGGGCCTTCTGAAAGTGTTGGCAAGCGGTGCACCTTCGGGCAAGATTTGCACAATCACGAGCCATGGTGGGCCAGAAGTAACCTTGAACTATGAGCCTTCGGGACATGGAGAAGGGTCCTTGGTGAGCTGAGCAAGTGCCACTGTGCACTTCCTTCATTGTGACCTCGGCTTCATCCTGATGAAGGCACCGAAGGAGGGTGCCATTGTAAGATCTCTTATAGAGCCTCCCGCTCTCGAGGGTGTAGCTGGGATCCCTCAGCTTTGCTAGCTTGGCACGGGCCTTGACCTCGGGAAGCTGCCCTGTGGTGATGAAGGTGATGATATCAGAGATCCAGTCCTCCGGCCTGAGGTGTATATCCATGATGGGGCTCGCATGTATGCTTGAGAGGCTGAGCTCCTCGATCCTTGCTATCTTTGAGAGGTGTTCCGGGGACTCGGCCGAGAGCTTCGATAAAATGTCGGCCTCGGAGTTTTGAGCCCTCGGTATTTGGGTGAGAGAATGTGCCTCAAATACCTTAAGCAACTCCTTGGCCGCCTCATTGTATTGCTTCATTCTCCCTTCCTTGGCCTCATATTCCCCGGAGATCTGGCCCACGACAAGTTTTGAGTCACACTTGACGTGGATCAACTTGGCCTTCAGATTTGCTGCTAGCCGAAGGCCACAGAGGAGGGCCTCGTATTCGGCTTCGTTGTTGGACACTTTGAAGGAGAAGCGGATGACATAATAGGTGCGGAAGCCTTCGGGCGTAATGAGAACCACCCCTCCTCCACACACTTTGGTGGCCGAGGAACCATCGGTATAGAGGGTCCACCACTCGTCAAGAGGTGCCGAAGGCTCCTCATCTACCGCCGATCTTGCAGTGCATTCCGTCACGAAGTCTGACAGGGCTTGGTCCTTGATGGCAGGCCTCAGACGAATATCAATGTTGTACTGGTTGAGGAAGATGACCCATTTCACCATTCTAGAGGAGCTGGTTGGACTCCTAATGAGGGCGCCGAGGGGTTGATGAGTGAGCATTTGGACTGGATGAGCTTGGAAATAGTGGCCAAGCTTCTTGACGGTCCAAACAATGGCCAGGACCGTTTTTTTCCACCGGGGAGTACCTGAGTTTTGCCTCCAATCTTTGAGGTAACAACTCAAAATATTTTTCCGGTTCCGCCCTACAAGAGCCGGTAACCCCAAATATCTCTCGTCCTCACCAGCCAGTCCGACTCCCAATAAATCAATAAGACCCGCCTGGTAATCAGTCGTCACATTAGAGCTAAAAAACTTTTTTGATTTATTATAATTGATTACTTGGCCAGATGCACTCTCATAATCAGCCAAACTCTCTTTCACCAAAGAAGCTTCATCATGATTGGCTCAGAAAAATAACAGACTATCATGTGCAAAAAATAAATGTGAAATCATAGGAGCACCCAAGCAATAGAAACACCGTGCAACCTGCCCATTTGCTCGTATCTGCTTAATAAGGCACTAAGACCTTCAGCCACAAGAAGGAAAAGATACGGCAGAGAGGATCCCTAGCGTAGCCAGATCAATCGTTCCTTCATCAAAAGGAATAGAATAACCGACAGAGATCACACATTCCATGATCAATCCTACCCACACCCCATCAAAGCCTAAGAAGAATTTCTTCTTTAACTAAAATGCTATGATCGTTGCAAATCCCAATCTAGGCTCATCGTATCTATATTCTATATAGTTGCAAAAGCTCAAAGAGACTTGTGCTCTGTTTGGATTGAAGGTTAGGGAGTATAATTGATGGGTGGTATATTAAGCCTAAATAATCACAAAACCATCTTGACTGCGGCAAATGGGGCTTCACAGAGTGACACACGCAAGAGACGGAGGATTTCAGCTAGTTTCAGGGAAGATGATCCACCTTGGTTGATCCCCAACCTTCCTGATGAGATATCCTTTCAAATTCTTGCGAGACTTCCTAGAGCTTTTTACTTGAAAGCCAGGTTGGTTTCGCGTAGATGGAAATCTGCTATTATGAGCCCCGAACTATACAAAACAAGAAAAGAACTCGGGACAACCGAGGAGTGGCTCTATGTTTTGACTAAGCTCAATGATGATATGCTTTTATGGTATGCCTTGGATCCCGTCTCAGGGAAATGGCAACGGTTGCCACCAGTGCCCACCAAAGAGTGTGCACCTAAAACGATCGGGATCACAGATGCCGTAAGGCGTTTGTTCAGGAAAAGGGAATCCCTTGACCATATCCCCTTTTGTGGTTGTGCTATTGGAGCCATGGATGGGTCCCTCTATGTCTTGGGAGGGTTTTGTAGAGACTCAACCATGAGGTGCGTTTGGCGTTACGATCCGATAAAGAATGTTTGGGATGAAATCAGCCCGATGTCCGTTGGTAGAGCTTATTGTAAGACTGGCATCCTGAATGGGAAGCTTTATGTGGTCGGAGGTGTAACTCGGGATCCAGGCGGGCTTACCCCACTTCAGTCAGCAGAAGTGTTTGATCCCCTGTCCGGCGTCTGGACGCAAATCCCAAACATGCCCTTCGCCAAAGGCCATATGCTTCCAAATGCCTTCTTAGCCGATTTTCTCAAACCTATAGCCACCGGGATTTCGACTTACAGAGGAAAGCTTTACGTCCCTCAGAGTTTGTATTGCTGGCCATTCTTTCTCGATGCCGGAGGGGAGGTTTACGATCCGGAAACAAACAGGTGGGTTGAGATGCCAGTAGGGATGGGGGAGGGGTGGCCTGCCAGACAGGCCGGGACGAAGTTGAGTGTGATTGTTGATGGTGAACTCTATGCTTTGGATCCTTCTGGGTCAACAAATGCCGCTAAGATAAACGTGTATGATTCCCAAGGTGATGTTTGGAAGGCAATTGAAGGGGATGTGCCAATTTGTGGTCTTGCCGATTTGGATTCTCCTTATTTACTATCAGGGTTTCTTGGAAAGATTCATGTGGTAACTAAGGATGGAAATCAGAATATTGTGATCTGGCAAGCAGATAGGCATAATCAGCCCATTCCATCTTCAGGCACGTATGGTTTCGATGCAAATATATGGAGAGTTATTGCATCAAAGAGCAGTGGATCATCAGAGCTTGTCAGCTGTCAGCTTCTTGATATTTAGCGCTGAAGGTCAATGTCAGTTGGAGTCAATCCCATCTCTTTGGCTCTGTTTGTTTAGAGAAAATTTTCCCTGCAAAAGTTCTGATTTTGCTTTTGTTTGGCATTGGTTTGTGGAAAGTGATTTCTTGTTCTAAAAGTGTTCTATGTTTTCTATTTTTGCAGGACACATTATACATAGAACTACTTGTTTTCCAGGAAAACATTTATCCAGAAATAACTTGCCACACTAAGTTATTTTCCAGGAAACAAACAGAGCTTTAGTTTTGAGTTTTTTTCAAGAATACATTCTCATCCCGCTCTGGGGAAGTAAGCTTATTCACTCCCCCCTATTCAATTAATATGTGGTATATATTAAAGAAAGTATTGTTGTGTGACTGTATGATAAACATTAGGAACAGCCTAGATAAATAATTATTGTCTGTACACAAACATTAGATCGTGTGGAGTTGCGATTGTTGAAAAAAGTCTTACTGTGCAAATACTTCTTAGTCGTTCGGCTAAAGTATTGGAGCGACTGGGCTAAGGATTGTGTTGTTCAGGCTCCCACCGGCTACTTTGGCATCCACCTGAGTACATCAATGAATGTGCTGATTACCTGTTTTGAAGTTGTTAACCTTAACTGCAACGTTCATCTTGATCTCAATACTCAGTATATGTGATACAGAAAAATTATTTTTACTTTGGGTCTAGTGAGGATATTTTATGTCATTTATATTTCTATTCACATTCTACTCATTGTATAGACTAGTCATAGACTTCATTGTATAATTCTGGTTTTAGAAATAGCATTCTTATGCTCAATATTCATTCTGTGGCTCATACATTATATGTTGTTAATATATTGGCCTAAGAACATACATAAAAGGAACATATTATTTATACTTACACAGAATTGATTTGTTATAAGCACACAGATATAACATAGCTCAAGTCCGGAGAGTATAGTACAGTAAGGAAAGCATTTGGAACTTTGGATTGAAGTTTTCGGAGGGCTTGGTCTATATGTCGAGAAATAGAATGTCCCTGAAGGCGAGCAAAAGGTGATTCAAATGCCATATGATCACATGCTATGCTAATCGGTGGTTTCGTTCTGTTTTGTTTTATATAGACGAAGTATATGCTATCCCCTCCGAAATCCTTCCCAACCCCTCTAATAAAACCCTCCATCCAAATAGGCCCTTAGAAAAGTTCAATTTCAGTTTTCTTGGTCCAGATCACACCGATCAAGATTTGGAGTAGAATCAAAGGATATTTCACCTCCAGGGGTGGTGTGGCCCCAGGATACTTCTTATTGCCACTGCTACCATTTCTCTGTCCGACCATCCCCGCCTTCCCAACATCCTTGGACTGGCGGAGTGGAATCTGGATCAACTAGTCTATCCTATTTCTCCTCATCCAGAAGCCCCTTAACCTGAAGCATAAGAGCAAATTTGGAAAGGAATTATATTGGGACTCCGTTTGTTTCAGGCCATGCATATATTTTCCTTTAAGTTTTTCCTTCTGTCTCACTCAAGAACATTCTCCTGGAGGAAAAGCTTTTTCATGCTGGTAAAGCAGAATGTACCACACAGGGAAATTAAAAATTGGTGATGATTTTTCTTCTCCCAAGTGTTTGGTGGTTTGTCATCAGAAAATAAGAACGAAAATCAAATATACTGATTGATTTTTTCTCAAGTCAGTTTTTGTATAACAGAAATGAACGGATCGTGTTTTTTACAAAAATATTACTAAAATAAAACTTATTTACACAAATATGACTAATAGTTACTACAATGAGTGTCATGGTAAATTAAGTTTAAAAATTGAACATAAATTACTATAATTTCATTATTACTCTAGTCACTAGTCATATTTATGTAAGTCATCTATATTTTAGTTATACTTATGTAATTATCTATATTAGCTTTTTTAGGGAATTTAAAACAATACTATCTATTTTTTAATTTAGCCCATCTTTTACTCTTATTTGGGGAGTTGATGTGAGGTTTCTCGCACTAAAAAATGATGTAGTAAAGTGGTTGAAAGTACGAGTATCGTCTCCACAAGGACGGACAAAAGGGAATTAAAGATTAACTAAATTCAGCGATTAAAATGAAATAAATAAAATAAATGCGTCGTGCGAGATTGGTTGTTTTGAAATTAAACTAATGTGAATGAACGATAAAATAAAAGCTTGGTTTCTCTCTAATTAACGACGAAGGGAACATGGATTGATTCCGGGGTAACCAGATTTTTGGCAGATCAAGCTTAATTACATGAAATTAATTTAATTGAGCCTAGCTAATCATTACTAAGTTCTTACCGCTCTCGCGGCGTAGAGTACAATAATTTAGGGGACCAGACTGATCTCTCATGCGACAGGATTCTAAATTATTGCCAAGATGAGCGAGCTTACGGCTCCTTAATCGCTACTAATCTCTTAGCGAACGATTAAGTGTGTGTGAATGTGTCCTAAAATAAATTAGATCTCTCTTAATTTATTCTACAAGCAATTGTTATTCTAGCGGCCGTTCTAGGTTACAAGAGATATCAGTTAAATTATTTAAACACAAATTAAACGGCATTCATGCAATTAATCCATCAAGAATCTAGCCATCAATCATGATTAACCCCTTCATCAACCCCAAATCCTTAATTAAACTACTCACAATTCATAATTGAAGAATCAACAGAATTGGAATGAATAGAATAAATTGTCATTAATTAAAAAGATGAACTTACAAATAATCCCAGGATTCTTGAAGAAAACAATGATAAAAACGCACGTAAATTCGTCCCTAAGTCTCCCCGTAATGTTCGTAACCCCTCAATGGGAGAATAGAGGCCTTTTTTTATATAGAAAACAGGAGAAATTGACCTGAATTAGGATTGTAGGGTCGCCCGCTCGGCGTGCGGATTAAGTCCGCTCGGCGAGCGGATCTATTGAACGCTTTCCGTAAAATATTCGCCCGCTCGGCGTGCGGGTTCTGTCTGCTCAGCGAGCGGGGCTTCCAGGGATCACGAATTCATCCCGCACGGCGAGCGGGAAATGTCGCGTGGCGTGCGGGGTTCAACGCCCAAATTTTCTGAACTTCAGCCACCTCCGCTTGGCGTGCGGGTTCTGTCCGCTTGGCGTGCGGACCTTCCAACTTGACTTTTTGGCCCTTTTCACTCCTTTTCGCTCGTGATTGCTCCCATGCTCGATTCTTTGGCTCTTTTGACTTCAAATCATCATCGTAAACCTTCTAGTGACATCCAAAACTATCGAATCACTCTCGAATGCTTCTCAACTCATCCCGATTACTTCTCAAGCGCCGATGCTGGTCTCTAACTTCTTCAATTTGACTCCAAATGCAACAAAACTCGACCCAACGCGTGGTAATCACAACTTGAGCTAAAATTGAGACTTGCAACGCCTTAAAGCTAGAAAAACCATCAAAATCTGACCCCAACACGCATCAAATGCGTGTTGTAATACGAACTTATCAGGAGTACATTCGAGATATTGTCCTAAATAGGACTAAATTCAAACGTAAATGCACAATAGAATCCATTGTTTTTTATTCCCTAAATAAGACTAAACATTACCTTTCTACACCTAATAGAAATAATTCATATAGTTAATTGTCACATAGTTTCCTTCATAATCAAAATCAATTTGATGGTACTGGTAGGTTGGTGGCGGTGAATGGGTAGATATTTCTGGAGTTCCTACGATCGCATAGGCGATTGGAGCCAGCGGTCGGCGGTGGCTGGTAGGGCAGTTGATTGGGGGCACTTCAAAACTTGTAGCCAGTTGTAGGAGTATAATTAGGGGTGCAAACGAGCCGAGCCGAGCTCGAACATGGGTATGTTTGAGTTTGATAAGAATTCACGATCTTGAGTTCGAGTTCGAGCTTGAACGAGTTAAATAATTCTTTAGCTCTAGCTCATTTCGAGTTCGGGTCAAGTTTTGCTAAATATTTTTTTATAGGTTTGAGTCAGAATAAGATGTTTGAACTCGAGATTGAATTCCAAATAAAAATAAAATTTCTATTTTCAAATTATTAATATTACACTTTTGCGTCATTTATCTCGCATCTTCTTAAATTCTCTGTCTCGCCGCTTTCGAGTTCCAAAAAGTGTTGAAGTGATCCAAACTATTTGATGGTGACATTAATGCTAAAAAATTCTTGGTAGAGGTATGATCGAATTGGATTATTCTTTTCTTCTGGTGGTGTTGATTTTGTTCTGTGACAGTTCTTTCCCGGGTACCGGTGCTCTGAAGTGGTTTGTCTCTCTCGATGTGAGGAGTTCAGTTGGTGTCCCGACTAGCTTCGTCTGATTAGAGGTTTCTATATGCTTTCTTCTAAAGTGTGTAGACATTGGTAGAACTCGTTGTCCCTTCGGAACCACCTCTGTGCATGAAAAGGTTTGTGGAAATACTTTATCTAACTTTTATTTTTCTATTGGTAGTACTTTTTATTATTATTTTGGTTTAAGTAGGTTTGGTTTACAAATTTGGACTTTTGGTATACATTTGATAGACAATATTTCAGTTCCGATTTTTTTAGGATTTAAATTATCAGTTTCGTGTCTAGCGAATCAAGTTGCTTTGTATGTGGCGACCGATTCTATGTCCATTCTTAGGGCTCACAATTAGATCTGTCATAACTAAGATGTTATTTTGTATCTTTTCTTGATTTTAATATAAACCTGATCCTTTATATTCAAAAATATATATATTAATATTACATTTATACATACAAAATAATAATAATAATAATAATAATAATAATAATAATAATAATAATAATTTTTGAAAATAATAATAATAATAATAATAGTAATAATAATAATAATAATAATAATAATAATAATAATAATATATCTGTATTTAACCGTTCTCATTTTTAGTTACTCTCTCCCTCACTCACTTTTGTATTTCTTATTATACAAAATAATAATAATAATAATAATAATAATAATATATCTGTATTTAACCGTTCCTATTAAAATAAAAAATTTAATGTTATGAGTTTTACAATTTAGATCAAAATTATGAAAGTAAAGTGCATAGTAGTTTGATGAATTAATGTTAGTAGAAATTTCAATCTTGAGATTTATCACAATGATTTTTTTGTGTGTTAATAATAATCACAATACCATGTAACTCTGAATGTAGATTGACTAAATTGCCCTAATAAAAACATGTTTTGCGGTCTTGTTCATATAGCTCGCTTGAATGCTTGATCCTCAAGTGATTGCAAAAGTTACAAATTCGTTGATATAGCATAAACTCCGTAGCTTTTAGGGAATTTTTCATAAATAGGCAAAAAAATGGAAATGATATCAAATTTGTCACCTCTTAAAGTTCTTTTCAAACGTATACTCCTAAAGTTTTTGTTTTCAATAATAGACCATGCTACCAGGGAAGTAACGGGTCGCCGCTGATGGAATAACGAAAATGAATCCATATGCTAACTTTATCCTTTAATAGCACTTACGAATCCAAAAATTTAAAGATGGAAAAATACAAGTGCAAAAACGATACGAAGTATAACAATATAATGCACAAAACAATAAAAAAATTCTCGAATTTAAAATAATAATTTAAATTTGAAAAAGGTAATAAAATACAATAAATGCTTAAAATTTATAAATGCTTTTTTTAAACAAATTTTAAAATTTATAAAAGCTTAAAAATATTAAATATTTACTCATTTTTGAAACTTTTTATAAATGCTTAAAATTCATAAAAGTTGAAAAATAAAATAAATGCTTATTTATATTTGAAACCAAGTTGAAAAAATAGCCTAATATTTTAAAGCAAAGATGTAAATGAGATAAAAATGTATTGTAACTATATAAAAATATGATAAGTAATTATAAAGTATTATGGAAGAGTAATTTTATTGAAATTGGTATACATACAAAGTAAAAATAAA